CATGTGGTAACTGAGGCTGAGGTTGGCTGAGTTACTTGACCAAGGTCACAAAAGCAGTTCATGTCAGAAGCAGGATTTGAACCCAGGTCCTTGACTCTAGAGTTAATGTGTGCGCTTTCTATTTTGCTACAAAACCTCTCTGTTAGAGATGAGGAAACTAGGGATGAGAGAGAGGAAGTGAATTAGCAAGAACACCCAGTAAATCAGTGGCAAAGCTGAGACCAAGCATGATACTATGAGAACAGATTTCAAGACCTCCTGAGCGGTTTTCACTGCTCCTGCTGCCAGATCTATATTTGGCCATGAAATTAAAATAACTAGAGCCTTGTATTTTTCTTGGCTAGCATAGTATAGACAAGACCTAGGACAGCATCAAAGAATCATGCGTATCAAGAATAAATGGCAAATTTTGATGGATCACTGTGGGCATTCTGAGTGGGAGAACAAGAAAACCTGTCCTGCTTTGATTTCTCTCTCCAATTTTTTTTAAAAGTAAAGGGAATTTAAAATCCTTAATTGCTCTAATGATGAAGAATGATAACATCAGGGGCTGCTTTCAGAGAACATTTCCTCTAGAAATAACATTATGTTGAGACAGTCAGTCCTGAGGTACAGACAGACACCAATCCCTGGAACCTGCTTGGAGAAAAGCAAAGACCTTATCTGATAATGCTTCTCCAACTTTGATTGTAAAAAGACTATCTTCCTGGGCAGCCAAGGAGTCATTCACACAGTGACCCAGGCCAGCCTGAGAGCAAATTCAGAATGGATGCCCCAGCCAGGACGATGGCTGTATGGTTGCTTCCCACCCACAGCACAGAAGGGTTTGGACAGTTTCTTCTCTGGAAATATTTCATAATTAGATGCAGTATGTCCTCTAAGGAGCCCAAGATTCTTTGCAGGTGCTCCACTGGACTTGAACTTGGAATGCCGCAAGTCAGATTCCAGCCTTGCCACTTATTCCCTTGGTGTGGGAAATGGGGCAAGACCCTTGCCCTTTGGGATATCAATTTTCACAAGTGCAAAATGGATGAGACCATCTCTAAGGGTTCTTCTAGTTCTAATAGTCTGTAATTCATAGATAGTGGAGTTATTTGCTATTGTTCTCCTTCACACCCAATCCATCACCCTGCACGTGTCTGCAATGCCTTCTAGAATCAAAGGAACATGAATCTAAAGCTGGAAGGGATCCAGAGACCACCTAATTCAACCCTCTCATTTTACAGAGGAGATTAAGTGACTTGCCCAAGGTCACATAAGCAGGATTTGAAACTGGAGCCTTTGACTCCAGAACCAATGACCAATCTACTGTACCCATTGTAGCATTGTCTCAGAGAATCTCTAGCTTCCTTCAAAGCTCAGGAGCTATTGTCCAGCTGATCCCTGAAGGTATTAGAGCTCTCTACAATGGTGAAATCGCTTTGCAGATACTTGCATATATTTACAGGGTGATGGGAAAAATGGGGTTCAAATCTTGCCTCTCTTACATACTGTCTGTGTGACCCTGGGTAAGTCACTTATCTCTTGGTGTCCCAGACATCTCTCTGAGAATGGAAGTTACAGAACATTTGCCAACTGGCATTGGCAGAAGCAGTTTCCTCACCAGGAGTGTCCTATTTACCAGTGGTGTCAAACTCAAGTAGAAACATAAGCCAATAAACCATATACAAGGATCCCTTCAGGCTGCAAATTGACTTAAAAAACACATGTTAATGTTATCAATGTTCTGCTGTATTTTTATTTATTTTGGTAAATGTTGTCTAATTATATTTCAGTCTGGTTCTGGCAGCACAGTGGAGTGATTTTTGGCCCCTCTGCCCCATGTCAATGATCAATCAATCAATCACCCAATAAATATTTATTAAGCACCTACTCTATGCCAGGCACTGTGGTGCAATGAAATCCCGGAATCTCAGAATTTGAGAATCAAAGGGACCTTGTCCAGTCCATACATGAATAGAATTCCCTCCAGACCACAGCTGACAGATAAGTAATCATCCAGGCAATGCTTGAAAATCAAATAAGAAATGGGAGCCCACCCCCACTCCCAAGCAGCCCATCACCCCTTGGATAGCTCTAATTGTTAGGAAGTTTGCCCTGACATCAAGTCGAATGTGGCCTCTTTGCAGCCCCCAGCCCCCTGAAGCCAAATCACAATGTCTAGTGCCTTCTCCACAGGACAGCCCTTCAGATATTTGAACATCACTATCATGTCTGCCCCAAGTCTTTCCTTCTCCAGGCTAACCATACCCATTTTCTTCAACCAATCCTCATATGAAATGGTGATGAAGACACATTTCTCTCTGACAAACTGAGGAAACTCTGTGAAATATACTTCTGTCTGCCTCCCCACCTCAACCCCTAATTAAACCTCTAACCACCTCCAGGAGTAATTAGTCTGCCTCCCAATTTCGAAAGTCTCATACTGTGCTATGTCCACCACCCCCTATAAAAGAACCATTCAATATTTCTACCCTGAGACATGAGAAGCTAAATTTAAATAAGAAAAAAAATAAACTTTTAATGATGCATCTGCAGTTCAACACAGCCAACATTTTTATCAAAAAAATAAGATCGGCCAATTCCAAATTTAGGAAGAACTCACATGCACTCATCAAGGCTCTCTGATGCTTTCAAAATGAGAACGGAACCCGGTCCCAATTAGACATTCCATGACACAGTCCAAAAAAAAAAAGTGGATAATACATTCTCTGTATAACCTGCCTGCGACCCAGAGAGAAGAGAGAGAAGCTTCCAGGCTATGTAAGTTGGTGTTGAAAGAATGACCTTCCTTTCCTCCACATTCATAGAATCACAGAATTTCAGATTTAAAAGAGACAGAGGCAGCCTTCTATTCCAAACTATCACATGAAACCATACCAAACCAGGAAAAAGAATCCCACCAGCAATATAGCCAGCATCCAGGCCTTCAAGGGAGGGTCCGCTCATCACCTCCAGAGATGTCCCACTCTACTTTTGGACAGCTTTCATTGTTAGAAGGATTTTCCTACCTGGATAAAAATCTGCCCCTGATTCTGCCTTCTGGAGCCAAATGGAACAAATCTTAACCTTTCTGCCCTTTGATAACCCTTCAGACACCAAAAACTACAATTATTTGTTCTCTTCTCTGGGCTAAACATTCATATTTTCTTCAATTGTTTATCCTTTAACATGAACTCAAGTCCCTTTTTTTTAAACTAAATAGGGTTGTTGTGAGAATCATATGAGATCAAAGAAAATAATGCATACAAAGTGCTTTTGTAATATTTAAAGCTTCATAGAAATGTGAATTATACTATTATTATAATTTATTTTTAAAATGTTAATATTATCCTGGTTGTCCTCTTGTGCACATTTCCCTACTTGTCAATGTCTTTACTGAAGTGTGGCATTCGGAATTGAACTCAGTACTCCAGATGTGCTCTGCCCAGGGCAGGACCAACACATCTGTATTCTGGAGTGTTCTGCTTTTCTTTTGGTAGCCTAAAGTCCCATTAGATTTCTTGGCAATTCCTCTTTTTATAAACCACTTCCATGAAAGCTCTGCTAATGACACACCTTGTAGGGCTGAGGGCCATTCTGAGGAAGCATTTCATCATTGCAGATGCCCAGAAGTAGCTGGTACAATGCTCAATTTAGTTATATCAATGATGTTAATGATAATGATAATGATGGTGGGCATGATGATGTTGGAGGAGGAAGAGGGCAGTGATGATGATGATACAATTTTAAAATGATCTTCCTAGAAACTCTCCTCCAAAGACCCTGCCGGATGAGACTTTTACAAATTATATTTTTTCATAGCTGGATCAAACACATTCTTTCTTGCTGCTCTCAGAGAAAATAAACAAGCATCCAGGGAATTTTATACCTTGACCTTGATAGCTAGTTCATGCAACACTTATAGGGCCTTTGCATGCAAATAATAAAAATAATAGCTGATATTTATGTAAGGATTTAAGATTTGAAAAGAATTTCACACATTTGATCTTATGTGAGGTTCAATAGTTATTGTCCCCAGTTTACAGATGGGAAAACTGAGGCTTGGAGAGGTTAAAGTGACTTGCCCTTGATCATGCAGGCTAGTATCAGAGGCTGGATTAGGATCCATATTTTCCTGACTCAGAGTTTAGCACTTTATCCACCACACCAACTAGGGTTTTATTGAACTTCTGCCCATGAATCTGTAAATATGGTCCACTTTTTTGTGTTAAGGAAAACTGCCCTAGGCCAGGCTCTAGTGAAATTAAGCATAGCCCTCTTCACATAGAAAGGAAATCATATAAATCATCTCCTTGCAATTGTCTTGCCCAAGGAAAACAGGACCTGAAAATGGAGGGCAGGAGTAACACATCAACAAGATGGAAAGATTCGTCTTTCTCCCAGAAATCCAGGTCAATGGACAGTTTGGAGGGGCATGGGTCCCTGGAGCTACTTCCTCCAACCTGGAAAAGTCCAAATGGTGGGATTTCCTGAGGGTACATACCCTCACTGCTATCTGCGGGAACCCCTACCTTTCTTGCGACAACATGTACGAGCCTTTCAAACCCTGCTAGGTTGGGACCTTGGGCTAGAAAACATTTTTACACATACACCAATATCACTGAGCACGAGATCCCCAGTTAGGAAAAGAAATATAACCAGTTTCTAAGCTTTACATGATCAGGACACTGTCACAAGATCATAGATTGAGACTCAAGAGGTCATCAAGTCCAAGTCTTCCATTTTACAGAAGAGGAAACTGAGGGTGGTAGAGGTTAAGTGACTTGCCCAGGGTTACACAGTTAGTAAGTGTCTGAGGTGGCATTTGTACCTAGAGCTTCCTGATTCTAAGTTAGTATGCCAGTTCTAGGGGGAGTTCACATCTAGTATCACATACACAAGAAATCCATCCCAAAAGTGGACAGACACAGCTCTCAGGCGTGGGTTCCATCCAGTTGATGCCTCTGAGAGGGATCACCAAGAGAGAAATGAAGCCAAAAGAAAAAGAAAAGACTTACTGCAAGGCTCCAATGGTGAGGATGTGGGTTCAGAGCAGGTACATGGGCTGGGGAAGTCTGCGGCCTCTCTTCTAGAAGTCGGAACTGACCAAAGGCTTTCTGGGGGACTGCAGGCTGCAAGTACAGATCATTTCTGAGCTGTGGGGAGGAAAACAGATACATGTCACCAAATGGAAATTATCTTCTCTTGTCTTCTCTCCTCTCATTCAGCCTTCTCACAGTCTTGTGAGGCCAGCAAGAGCACAAATTATTGAACCCATTTTTTCATGCAGGCACTGAGGTCAATAAATTTAACATACAATAAGTGAATGAAAGAGTGAGATGAGCAGATTGTTCTCTTAGCTCAGGGCTTTTGCTCCTAGGTCCTGCTACCCTGTGATAGAAAAGGCAGGCAGTTATTTATTCTGCCCATTTTATAGATGAAATAAAGGCTTGGAGTGACTAGCCCATGGTCACACAGGCTGGATTTGGACCCATCTTTTCTGGATCCGGAGCCTAGTCGTTTATCTACTGGGTCAACGATTATAAAGAACAGCCATCCCCAAGAATCTGACCCATTATTGTATTAGAAAAAACCCTCAGAGCCAAGCCCCAGTGATTTAGAGGACAGAACACTTGGATGGGAGTCAGGAGACCTGGGTTGAGTCCAAATTTAGATACTTATTAGCTGTGTGGTGGCGGCCAATTCATTTAAACTCTTGGAGCCTCAGTTTCTTCACCATAAAATGGGAGTAATAATATTTGTACCACCAACCTCAGATACCTAAAGCATTTTGCATATATGAAAAACACCACTAATAATAGTCACTAGCATTCACAGGACACACTAAGGTTTGGCAAGTACTTTACCTATGTTATATCATTTGGTCCTCACAACAACTATGGGAAACACGTGTTTCTAACATCTCCATTTTACAAATGAGGAAATTGAGGAGTACAGAAATTAAGTTACTTGTTTAGGATCATAGAGCTAATAAATGTCTCAGGCAGAACTTGAACGCAAGGGGAAGCTAGGTGATGCAGTGGATAGAGCACCAGCCCCGAAGTCAGGAGGACCTGAGTTCAAATCCTGCTTCAGACCAAACACTTGACATGTACTAGCTGTGTGACCTTGGGCAAGTCACTTAACCCTGATTGCCTCACCAAAAGGAAAAAAAAAAAGTACTTGAACTCAAGTCTTCCTAAGTCAGTTCAGCAACCTATCTACATTAGTCATGCAGCTACAATAGAAATGAATGTCATTAATTTTTAAAATCACTGCAAAGGATTTGCACAAATGCTGAACCAAAGGTTTCATGGCTTCTTGGGTCCTCTTTCTATCACTAGAAATCTGCCCAAAGGAATAGGTTTGGAGGACCAATGACTATCAACTGTAGCTAACAGAGTGTCCTTATAGTCATGGGTTCTAACCCTGCCTCTGATACTTATAAACTCTGTGACCTTGGGCAAGTCTCTCTGAGCCTCAGTTTCATCATTTGTAAAAAGAAGATAATAATACTTGGAGCTACTACTTCCCAGGATTGCGGTGAGGTTTTAATAAGGTAATACATATATAAAGCACTTTACAAACTGTAAGGAATTATATACATGCCAGTTACCATCACCATCATCAGTTATTAAGGTATTCTGGAATCTGGACAGAGACCAACAACTCATTACTTAGCCAGAGTTTCTTTCAGGAGCATCTATAATTATGCAAGCATGACCAGAGGCTAAGTGTCTTATGGGCAATCTGATTATGGGTTGAATTAATTAATAAAAATCAATAAACACCGGCAGATTGGTTAAGGCAAATGATCAGTCATTTCCCATTTCTCCCCAATAATTCAAGGGCAGTAATCTCCATCTTTCATTAACCCTTCATATTTTCCTTATTAGTTACATCATAATTAGGGGCTTATACACACTCTCTGCCCCTGTGCATGTGTCTCTGTCTCTCTCTGTGTCTGTCTTTGTCTCTCTGTCTCTCTGTGTCTCTATCTCTGTGTCTCTTTCTGTCTCTGTCTCTTCTCTTTTCAATTTCATTACAATAATTTGATAAGATGAGGATGATATACAGGGACAGATGGAAGCTATAGCTCTTTCAGAAGATCCCAAAACCACCAGCCCCACTTTCCATTCCTAAACCTATTCACAGTGTGCAGGAAGGAGTGAAAGACAGGGTCTGTGTATGAGGGGAAGAATTCAACAATGGAGAAAGTAGAAAAGACACCCAAGCACAATCATTTATTAAACACCTACTATGTTCCAGGCACTCACTACGTGTTGGGGCATAGAATGACAAAATGAAAGCACCTTCTTCCCTCAAGGAGATTACATTCTGCCAGAAAGACAGTATCAATCAATCAACAAAGATCCACTAAGTGTTTCCTGTGTGTCAGGCATGGTGCTAGGTACTGAGAATACATTCACGGCCTCCGAGGAACTTAACATTCTTTTGGGGGAGACAGTGTTGTCATGTCTAGGTGTATAGACAAGATACATACAAAATAGATACATGGGGAAATGGGGGGGGGGGGTTAGCATGAGAAGAGACTAAGATGGCACTTGAACTGAGGAAGGAAACCAGGAATTCCAAGAGTTGTGAATGAGGATGTATGGAGGAGAACCAATACAAAGACATGGAGACAGGAGATGGAAAGTGGTGTGTGAGGAACAGTAGGACCAGTGTGGCTAGACTCTAGAATCAAAACATAAAAGTTCTGCTAGTTCCAGCTACAATTATGGGATTCAGAGCTGCAAGGGATTCTATTGATCATCTAGACCATAGGTTCCCAAAGTGGGCAATACCATCTCCTAGGGGGCACTGGAATGATGGGTGTGGTAGTAGCCTCAGGTGCAATGGGGGAGGCGTTGAATAAAAATAAGGGGGCAGTGGAAGCATAAGGAAAGAAGAGAAGATAAGAAAATTTTGAAAAACTATTCGTATATGTTTCATCTGTTGTTTAAGAGAGTTAAAGTGGTAGTGATTATGTTATTTTCCAAATAAACACAAAACATGCAAGTTATAACCAATCAGTGGTCAAGTCTGCTGACAGGTCTTAACAAGCAAGTGTTGGCAGGCAAGCGTGTTGCACATTGCAGGGAAGTCCAGCATACATTAGCAGGAATATATGCGTGTAATGACTTGTTTACAATACAATACTATATGGTTACATGACACAATATTGCATCATCAAAATTTCAATGAAAGGAAAACACCCACAAATTTGGAAATTATTAAATTTAAGATATGTGATTTTAAAAATATATTTTATATTTTTAAATGATGCAAATTTCAAAAAAAAAAGTTAAAGGGATAAAGAAAGTAGATTTCCAGGAGGGCACTAAGTAATTTTTTTTTTGAAAAGGAGGCAGTAGGTCAAATAAGTTTGGGAACCTCTAATCTAGACCAACTCCATAATTTTACAAATAGAGAAACTGAGGTCAAGAGAGAAAAAACAAGGTCTCACAGCCAATCAACAGCTAAGTTGGGATTTGAATTTACATCCTCTGATTCCAAATTGACTGTTCTTTCTACTGTACTACACCGGTAATACTTAGCGATGTCTCCTTTTTCTCTCCTCATAGTTATATAATATAGTGGAAAGAACCTGGATTTGGGGTTGGAACTTCTGTGTTCGAATCTTGGCTATGCCACTCACCACCAATATGACCTTGGACAAGTCAGAGCATCATAGCTATAGAGCTGGAAGAGATCTTAGAGGTCAACTCATACGAGTCCCACATTTGACAGGTAAGGAAACTGAGGCCCAGAGAGAATGAACACTCGAGACTGGAGAGAGTGGCCAGGGACATACTGCTGGAAGAGCCAGGTTTCCATTAGCACAAGAAGATGGGAAAAGATTGAAAAGCTCCAGGATAAAGGGGCATTCATTATTGTTTTTCTTAAACAATAGGATGGTGGTTGCAGATGATACAATGGAATGGAAGGGCAGAGAAAGATATAGGCCAGGGGTGGGGAACTTGTGGCCTCAAAGCCACATGTGGCCCTCTAGGTCCTCAAGTGCAGCTCTTTGACTGTATCCAAACAAATGATTTGTTCTGTGAAGCTTGGGGTGGCGCTGAGTTGAATAGAGATGAGAGTACAGAAGTGATTTCTCTCATGCCCCCTGAAGCATTCAGCCAGAAGGAGAAGTCATATTCTTTGTTCCTCACTCCCAAGTCTAGACTGTCCCTTTGCCACCACTATTTAGCAACCTCTTCTTGTTGCAATGATCTACTGGCCTTTGGGTCATCTTCCCTCCTTTTCCAAGGAGTTCAGTGTCTGGTTCATTGCCTTCCTCCCTGCACTAATCACTGTCCTCAGACTTGTCCATTTTAATCCACTTGTCAACATCCCCTCAAACACCTTGACTTTCCAGGTCATCAGCCTGCTAAATTTCCATGACTTCCACCTTTGCTTGGCTTCATATCTGCACTCAGGGATGGACATACCATTAACACAACCCTCAGCCCTAACTGTTTTACCCAGATGATATACTATTCTGACACTCAGGTCTCTGAGTGCAACCTCTCATCCTTATAGAAGTAGCTAATAATAATAGCTAGCATTTATATAGACTTCCCTGACTGAGGCAGCTAGGTGGTGCAGTGGTTAGAGTGCTGAGCCTAGAGTCAGGAAGATTCATTTTCATGAATTCAAATCAGGCCTCAGACACTTACTAGCTTTGTGACACTTCACTCTGTTGGCCTCTGTTTCCTCACCTGTAAAATGAGCTAGAGAAGGAAATGGCAAACCACTCCAATATTTCTGCCAAGAAAACCCCAAACAGGGTCACAAAGAGTCAGACATGACTGAACAACAACTTTCTGACTCTAAGTCCGAACTTTATCCCCCATGCCACCTAGCTGCTAATCTCTCCTTATGCCTCAGTCTTTTTAAACCTTTTCATCTTCATCACTACCTTTCATCTATCATCTCTACTCTGGCCTCCCTTCCCAGTTTTCACCCTATGGCTTACCCATTCAACCACACAGTATCTGGGGCTTTGAAAGATTGTAGGATTTTCTCCGGGGTCACACAGTCAGTATGGGTCAGAACCAGACCGGAAGCAAGATCTTATAACCTCACGCTGCCCCCTCCCAATAGGCCCTGTCTCACCAGGGTGTCAGGAGAGTTGGTTGGGGTTTGAAAA